CTTCTTGCGGGCTGCAGATCTTCTCGGCATCATGATCACTGCTGTCCGCACCAACATCTCCCACCTCAACATCCATCTCCACCGCACTTTCAGTCTCCATGATTTGAGGCGAACCATGCTGCCCTTCCTGCGGCTGAGGTGGGGGCTTCAGCCATGCTGCCAAGCTCCCCGCCATCCCGGCGTCCTCCTTGCTCCACCGCGCTCGCCTGTGGCGATGCTGCGTCGACCGGTGGAGTGGTTGCACCGCGTGTTTTCGCGCAGGCGGCGCGACTTCGGGCGCCNCAGCTGCTTTCCTCCTTTCGGCAGGCCGATGAGAACGGCGGTGGGGCCAGTCGTCGTCGTGGTCGTTGGTGTGCATGGGAGAAATATTGGCGCCTTCATGGTCGGAAGAGGGAGGAGAGTCGTTGCCTACAGCAGGGTGCGCAGGGGACGAAGGGGCCTTCCGAATCGTGCCGTCGGCGTTCCTTGGCAGCTTGCGCTTACCCTTTGGGCGACCCATGTGCCCGGAGCGCGTGTGCGTCTTTCGTTGCGTGCGTAAAGGGTGTGTGTGTGTGCTTTTATTATTAGCATCGACCGCGCTAACCGGCTGACCAATGAAAAGACGTCAGTCTTAGTGCGGTTGAAAACACTAAACACTTCTATCTACTACCATGAACTGGGACCCCGTGAGGGGGCAGCATGGGGGNAAACGGACCATACAAACCCTCGTCGTCTATGTAGATTTGCGTCAAAGAGAGCCGTATATGCCGTACTGCCGAGTACAGCGGCCGCGACCGTTCGAAATGATCGATAGCAATAACATTCACGTGCTCCGCATCACGCGGGCGAAGAGAGAGAGCGGATGCAAGGGATCTGGAGGTTGGCATACAACAGCAACTGCATGCCAAGAGAGAGCACGGGGAATCCACCAGCAGTGACCGGCGTTTTGAAATTTCAAACGGCGACATAGTCGGCCTCAAGTTCAAATATGGCGTACCAACCGAGGCTTTTTTTGCGGCGCCGGCGGGTAAAGGCAAGCTGCAGTAGTGTGAGAATGACATCGTGTCCTCCAGGGGGGCAAAGGAAGCACTGCTCTATGCACGATGGTTGTAGCCAGGATGTCCAACACAGCAACACAGCTGTAGCTGCCAGCGGTGCACGGCAAGCTCTGGCAGGTAAACAACTCACGAGCTTGGAGGTGGGTGATGCAGTCATCGACTGGCCAGGCACAGACCCCCGGAGGTGGCTCGTCCGTTAGCATCTTGAGCTCCTTCCCGAGCCTGACAAGCCCTACACCCGCCATGTGTGTTCCAAGTAGTCGCTGCTGCGTGCCGTGGTGCACGGGGTGAGACTGCTGCAGCTTGGTCGAGCCTCTCGGGGGCACCGTTGCGAGAGTTAGGGGGGCTCCGTGGAATCAGGACGAGTACCCTATTCACCTCATTTGTACATACATCCGACTTGGATCTGTTTATCTTCTGACCTTCACCAACTTCCCACTTGAGTTTGTCCGTTACAAACCCCATCTTGGCATGCTGGCAATCCCCACAACCCTCGTGCTCAATGGTGTACAGGCTGCTATTTGAATATCATGTTGATACAGATAGCGCCCGCACTAAAGAACTTGGCAGTTAAGAAAAAAATGAGACTCGGAAAAAATCAGACGCTCAGAACTTGAGCACCATTTGTGAGCCCTGTTAAGAACCCCTACACTAAAACCTATAAAGTGGCGATTTGTAGCCCACAAGAGGATGATCGGCAATATAAGAACCCCAGCCTCGGCCGAAACTGGAGGTTCTTACGTGCAGGCGCCATCTGTATGGATTTTTCGCACACGCAGTTTTCTCTGCTTAGACTAATGGTCTATACACAGACTATTCTTGCCACGAGTAAAACTAGGTACCATTATCTACGATGATTGATTGCTGTTGTAGCGGAGGAACTGCTGTGTGAGCCCGAGCGGTTTTTCAGCAAAGCGTACAGCATGGTATTCGTCAAAGCTGCACGTGTGTTGCTGTGTTTAATGAGAAGGGTTGATCACCCGGCCGTAGCGAAGCAAGCGGATTCACTCAAGACGTAGTATGACTCCACACGTCACAGATTTGATGTGGTCTGGTTGGGTGTGTGTGTTTTGGGGGGGATAAATCTTCGGTTTGGGGACGCAGCAGTGTCTCAACCGGAATGAACCGTCGATGAAGTGTAACGGACACCAGGTTTGGATCTTCAGTGTTGGAGAGGCACGGCCGACGCCGAACAGAAGGAAATGCAGTGACTTTCGCCAGAAAACCAAGGATGCAACGTTGCTCGTGGTGTCGGCTTTTTGTTTTGGTCGTCGGGCGAGCGGGTGTACACGTGCGCACGTTGATTGGCAGCTGAAAAAAAGCGCCACACGCCAGGCAGGCTGACAGAACGCAGATCGTTTCTGTCCACGCCGATTTACCGGTTGCTCTCCCCAAAGCAGCAGCCAAGAGTGACACGTGCGCGCTGAAGGCCTGAAGTGCTACCGATACTTGTACTCGTGTGCATGGCGAACACATACCGCAATACTCACTTTGCTTGGAAACCAAGGGACCCTTGGAGTCAAATCCGGATCCGAATGGACCTTATTCTTTCAATCAAACTCATGGATTGGTTAGCTACTGCTGTAGATATCCGATGTGTAGGTCAGTCGGTAAACCCCTTCAGGCTGTCCACGAACCTCGCATTCGTTCACGTGAGTCAATCTCAAAGTCGTGTCACATCAGCGACCCGCCAAACGAAGACCTTCGACGCCGTCCATCAACCTTTTTCCCGGTTCGGCGGCTCGCAAAGCAAGGCAGCCTCAAGAATAGGACAGACCCCCCACACGAACCCTGTCACCGACACGCCTCCAAACTAGTCGTGAACTTCACCGTGCGCCTGCCGTCACACCACCCGTGGTCTTCGGCCAAAGAATCCCTCATAACGAGTGGTACACATATTGGCGAAAAAACTTGGGTCACGCAAGATGGTGGGCGACAAAGACCGGAGTTCATCCGCAAAACACACACGGATTTGGAGAAACCAGCCGTAAGGTATTCAACCCGCCCTCTCGGGCCAGCCCTTTTCACAGCAATCCTACGCCTGGGGCTGCATGCCACCCATGGCCGCTTCGAGTTTCTTTAGCAACTCCGCCGTCTCCGGGTCACCCTGGAGTTCTTCCATCGCCTCCGGCCCGTCGGCCATGACCTGACCAATCCAATGGACAAACAAGCGTCAGCAAGCAACAAACAGGACGGGGCGCATGTACCGCCGTTTTTCTGTGTGAGTGAATGCTGGGGTGGTCGAGTGTGCGGCGTCTGCCAGAGATGGGCTGCATGCAAAGGGGAAGGAGAATACATGCGGCTAAAACAGATCGTTCATGACCCCCAGAGACCGACGACCCGAGCAACAAGTTCAAGAATCTCAAACAAAAAATTTCTACCGGAAAATACACGCCTGCTTCTCTAAATCTGCCGCATCGCCCCGTGTCAGCCGGACGCCACCCTCCCCGTCGATGGGTGGGTCGAGACAGCAGCGCAAGGAAACAAGAGGCCGTGACACAAGAACATCATCAGTCGACCCAATGCTCGGCAATAGGTCAAGCTCGTGCCTCGACGATTGGTTCCCCCCTCACCTTCTTCATGATTTCCTGGAGCTTGGGGTTCTGCATGAGAACCATTAGCTCCGGGTTAGAAACCATCTTGGACAGCATCTCAGGGGTCATTCCTGTGCCGAGAGGTCAAGAACAGTTGAGCGGGCCAGAGTGAGCACAGGGAAGAGTATTGGTGGGCGACTTTTTCGGGATTCAAGATTGGCGCCCCGGGGCGGGTGGGTGGACGAGTCTAGACAACGTCACGGCTCGGGATGGGAGCACCAGGTCTTTCCGAAGCGCAAGGGGAGGAGGAAGACTAAAGCACAGCACACTCACACAGCAGTATGTCTCGGCACGCACAACTCTACACCACCCAAAGTAGTGGATGCTTGTCAGGCGCGTGCTGTTGTACTGCGGACTGAATTTCTCCTCCTTGACAGGCGCATGATATTGCTGTGCGTACTGTACTTTACTTCCTTTTTTGCTGCTGTCATTGCCACCGTGCCACTGCCGCTGTCTCTGCTATTGCCCCGGTCGCGAGTGCACCGGTGCAAATAAATGAAAATGTAACAACCGAAACGCACCTCCCGGAAGGGTGCCGTCCGCCGCGGTGAGGTCCTTTAGCTTCTCCTCGTTCAGGAGGTCCTCTGCCAAACCGGCGGCTCTTTCGGGATCCATCCTTTCGAATGAGGGAAGGAAGGAACGAAAACAGAGTAGAGAGCATGAATATGGGTCATAATCAGACGCTCGTTTCAACAATGACCAAGAACAAAAACTACTTCACCAACCACAAAGTAACAAACGCCGGGCCAGAGACGTGTGTTGCAATCGGCTCGTCACCTAATCTTCATACGTTTACATCGCTTCTACCACGACCACAAAATATTTATATCGCCACGTACTAAACAAGTACGGACAGAGGGAGGTAGTGAAAAGAGAGATGGGAACAGTTCTCAGCCATATGAAGACGACAACAGCAACAACAACAACAACAACAACAACAACAACAACAACAACAACAACAACAACAACAAGTAACACACGAAAGCAAGGACAACAAACGCAAGGACGACAACAACAACTAACACACAAACGCAAGGCCAGCAATGTGTTGCGATCGGGAACTGCGGCGGCGGCGGCGGCCATCCTCTCTCTCACCTGTTCTCGAGGTTCTCCTTATTGAAGTCGTCGATGATGGACGGGTCTGCTCGTCCCAAGCTCCGTGCCTCGATCAACTTCTCCACGAGCTCGTCCTGAACAACAAAACACACAACATCAACGGGAAGATGGGAAAAACAAGATTGCGAAGGGCGGTACGTACGGCCACGGCACAAGTCACGATTATTGGCCCTTGGCGACAAACTAGACGTTGCAAACAACGCAACGCCTCGATCATGGGCGCAGCTACGACCCCTACAATGTACGAGGATACCGGAAGGATCTGGGCGCACGCTGAAAATGACTTGGAAGTATATATTCGAACGAAGCGAGATATCTTACTGTAGCCGCCACCGCCGTCGGTGTTGCCGACGTGTCAAATAAAAGCGACATTTGACATTGACGGTGAACGCACGACATTTGTGTCGCGAGTATCTCGCCAACACAGCCAACCCACATTCTCCCCTTTGCAACACGTGGATGCATACCTTCTCAAATATCCCGGTGTAGCCTACGCCTCGCATGTCGAGCTCAGCCTTGATCTCGCTCGCCCGCATCTTCGCAACTCCCTCTGCGTCCGGGTCAGTCTTGTCGTCTTCGTCCTCCTCCTCCGCTCCTTGCCCGCCACCCGCCGGCGTGCCGTCCTCCCCAGCCATCATCGCCAAGGGCGCCGTCGCGGAGCGAACGCGTGGTCTTACGGCCGACGATCGGAAGTTGCCGGCAACATTTCTTCTCCCGAGATGGAAGGACACCGCCCTACCGCAAATGCTTTATATGCATCAATAGGCGGGCACTGTATTGTGATTGGACAATCGCTGGGGAACGGCTGTTGTTGAACCACAAACATTCAAACATTGAAACGTCTCTGTAGCCGTGGCGCCGTGTTCTCGATATTTATATTTACACAGCAGTTATGTAGACTTCTACAAATAACCGTACCATGTTCGTCCGGTATCTACTGTTGTACCTGCGGGCAACAAATAGCCCATCTAGGGAAAAGAATCAGCGAAAAAACTCAAAACCCATACACACGGCGTGTCCCTACTTACCGGGTAGGGAGAAAGAGCTGCGTTCTCTTCGGTACGTACAAGACGTTATATACTTGTCTATGGAAAAGATAAAAGAGTCTGAGATAGATAATGAAACAATTTAGCGTCAGATGTGTTTTTTGAACGGCTTTCGAAGCCGCCCATTGGCTTGCTGTTCAAAACTGCTCTTGCAACAGGCCATTTTTTTTCTAGAACGACAGCACTTCAACAAGCAGCGTGGTGCTCGTACGTGCAGGCGAACGCCTATGGATTTTTGTTTGCTGGCGCATCTAACACTGCAAGTCGGGAGAGATCTTGTGCAGCAGCTACAGCAGCAGGACGGCAGTACAGCAGTGACATGCATGTCTACTTCTGTAGGATTTCATAGTAGGTTTGAGCGGCGAATGAGCACCGCAGATCTTCGCCTTGCACCAGTCGTGCGCTCACCTCTTGGGAGTGACGCCGACGCCCACGAAGGCCAAGCCCGATGCGAGGCACGAAAGGACGAGAAGGGCCACAGAGCGAGGAGCCATCGTGTTTGGTTGGTGAGGAGAGAAAGTGTAAACTGGCTGCGGTGCGACGGAGGACGGAGGACGAGCCGGAGGGGGCCGAGGGCTGAGGTCATCCGTAGACCCCACAATCCTAGATGCGGGGCTCCCCTGGGTGTGCCACACTCTCACTGCACACCCAGACACTGCCTGCAACAATAGTGTTTCACGCTTCCACTGGTACCACCCATACAGCGCCAACGCAGCGGAGAGAGGGCTGGCGAAGTCTGATTCTGGTGACAGACCTTCTTCGTTCATAATAAAATCATGGATCAAGGAGACCGTGGTCGGGGGGGCCCAGAAAGTCAAGAGATCATTCAGGTACAGCAGTAGTATCTACGTGCAAACACGACTTGTACACTCAGCGAAGGAGTGGCAGCAACAATATGCTGCTGTAAGTCTGCACGTACTTTTGATTTCAAGCTTCAGAGAAGATTCCCTGTCCCAGCTATACCCAGCTAGTGCAAGGAATGTCCCCGTACACTGAAATTTGAAAATTGCACTTTTTCTGCACCGTATGACGCCCAATACCACCTACCTGAGACTGTCATTTGGCACAAAGGCTAACACCATTTGTATCACAAGCATGATTTGCAGCAAGCCCATGGCATGCTGCGCATCGAGTGCAGCATGTTGGCACTTATCATATCGCGCTCCTTGTAGCGTTAGGAGAGCGCAACATGTTCCTGTGGGCACACGATGACTCGAAACGCTCCAACCCGCACGGCAGTGCCCGCATTGTTGGAGCATTGGTCACTTGGATCTTCGCCAGACATCAATATCTACGAGCGATAGCGGTGATATCCGTGGGACTGCTGACGGTGCTCGTGTTTTCTTATGGTTGTGTGTGTTTGTATTGTTAGCATCGACCGCGCTAACCGGCTGACCAAAAGAAGACGTCAATCTCAATGCGGTTTGAAACACAAACATATCCAAATGCCATACCTAACTGGGACCCCGTGAGGGGGCGGCATGAGAGAGACTAAGCTATCCTCCGGATCAAGAATAGAAACGATAGCAACAAAAGAAAGCTGCGAGCGTCTACCAAGGCTGCTACCTTGCACTCGAGTTCGTTTTGGAATGCTTTCACCATCATCCTCCTTGCTTTCGCTACCCACCGTTCTCATCATCATTTCGACAGCAATTTTTTGTCGATTATTCTCTTGCCCTGCTGCGTTTGTTGTGGGGGAGGTCATGTGGCTCGAAGCTCTTGCCCTCTTCCATACCATGATTCCCTCCTTGATTGATGTCGTGGTCTCTGTCTTTTCCTCCTGTTCCCTGTCCTCCGTCTTCATCGCTGCCAAACGAATTCCCCTCATTGCCATCATGATCGTTTTTTATCTGCACTACATGCATTACCGAGATCCCAACCTATTGACGGTGGTTGTATGTGTGTGTTGTGCGGTTGTTGCTTGACGCGCGGCTTCAGGAGCTATTCCTGAATACGGGAGGACTGGTCGGCGCAGTGACCAGCGTCGAGGGAACCGGGCAGCTTATTACAGGTGACGTGGCCCGGCCCAAACGCTACAGAGCAGGTCGCAGATTTTGCATTGCGCCAGCAAACCAATGTACTCCTTAGTATCCAGCCAGCATGGTGGAATAGATCGTGTTGGAGACTACAGCACGATAAGAACGTGTGTTGTTCTAGTTTTTGAGGGTGGACCAACCACTATTTTCTCCCAGCGATGAAGCAGAAACAAATAATGTGTTCGTGGACTTTTCAACGGGTGCAACCTCGTTTCTTGATGTACCATCGGCTACGAAACGAGGCATCAATTTCGAAGGGCACACAACCCTATTCAGCGTTCTACACGAAACGATTACAATAATGTCCATAAACTCGAAGTCGCGGGTGCCTCCTCTTGTGGTACCCGTCCTCCTTCCGCGGCGCGCCGTCATGACGCATGATCAAAAGCGCAGCCCTCTCTTGAGAAGTAAAAAGCAAAGTCAACCAGGATAGTTTCCAATCGTAGAGGCTTACGCTCCGCCCCACTCAAACGCCGACCCCGTTCTCGCTAGTGCAGGATAACTTGTCATGGATGCTGAGCACGTGTTCCTCTCCCCCCCCCCCCCCCCCCCCCCCCCCCCCCCCCCCCCCCCCCCCCCCCCCCCCCCCCNCCCCTTCGCCATCGGTGATCGGTCCGGTGGGAACAACGCCTCGTCCTCTCGAGGACGCGTGGTCGATGGTTGTACCCGCTAAGGCATGAAAGACATGACCACGCACACGCCCGCCCACATAACCCTCCCCCGCCCCCCCCCCGGTGTTTTTGCACCGGGGTTGGGTTCATCGCTTGGCAACGCGTTGTAAAACAAGCCAATTCACTTCGTGAACTCGGCAACCAGGTTACCGTTCTTTTTTTTTTCCTTGTTTTTTTTTTTGGCCGTCACCATAATGGTGGTCGAGTAGATCATGTTGTGCGGGGTAGAGAAACCTCACTCCGCGCAAGGGGGATGATCGCACCACGTTGTGTTAAAATGGTCAAGCACCCTCGAGGCAGTTACACAGTGCTTACAACTTTCTCAGGAAGTGAAAGCACCAGAAAATAAATTAAGTCATACGCAGCTGTCATCCGTACGCAAGGAAGTAAGCACAAGATGCGGAACACCCTTGGCAGGATGCAGCGCACCCTTCATGCGACTCGCCGAATACCTCACGGCGCTTCGCGCTTGGTGATGTGAGAGACTGGTCCGGTGAGAACCCGGCGTGCTCTGTCCCGGCATTGTGGGGATGCGAGGTCAATGGTCTAACGACTACGGCATGCACGACTATGAGTCCCCCCCCCTCCCCCGACCCCGTCGTTCACCCCACCTAACCCTTCTCAGGCACAAGGAACGACGAGTCCGGGTGGAGCATCCTTCCCCCGGGTCCCGGTAGAGAAAAGACCACGGCCGCCACCGCCGCCGCCGCGTCCCTCGGAAACCGACTCACCGTCCACACCATCCGCGACACGGGGGGCCGCGTGCTGGGACTCGGGTCGTCCTCCTCGCTACGGGCCGCCGGCACCGGCGGCGGCGGCGGTGGAGAGGGTGGCGACGAGGATGCGGTGGTGGGGCGCTTGGAGTCCGTGGCGGAGGCGTGGGCGCCGCACGAGGGAGCCGTGACGGGAGTCGACGTGGCCGGTGGGGGGTTCGAAAGCCTTGGCGGCGTTTCGGGAGTGGTGACGTCGGGCGGGGACGGGTAAGAGACACGCGGTCGAGGCAATAAATGGTTAATGGGATGTTCTGAGCCATGGTGCCGGCCTCTCTCTCTCTTGTGTGTGTGTGTGTCACGCAGATGATGGTAATGCCGATACCGTTGTCGGTAGACTTGGAGGCGGAGGTTGCTGGCTTCTCTCGCTGCCGGAGTAGGTGGTGTTTTTCCGTTGGGAGGGGGAACGAGGGCGTAACTCTCCGTCTTTTGGTGCGTGTTTGGCATGGCCAATTGAGACACAGCCACCATGAGCGTGCGTTCGTGGCCGCGCTATCGTTTCGAAGTATGTTTGCTGTGGTTGCAACGAAGAGAGGAGGAGTGTTGGGCGCGACCCCCAGCGCTTCAGCGCAAGCCTCAATCTGCAGTCACCGTTACCTAACGTGGGAGTTATAGAACTTCACCAATGAAAATAATGCCTGATAGAGAACGGGACCACGCTTTTCAACTCTGGCGGTCCCTCCATGCTCGTTTTTGCGTCTCGTTGTCCCTTGCCCTCTCCATGCACTCCCGTGTTTCGCTCAGCGTTTTTCTTTGTTGGTTGGAAGTTCGCCTAGAGTACACCATCAAGGAGCGTGTGTTTGGAAAAGGAAGCGTATCGCGATTCCGCCACGCCGCCCCTACACCACGTCAAGCCGCCGCTGCCATCTCACACAATTCCCCCCCCCCCCCCCCCCCCCCCCCCCCCCCC